TACTCGACTTTATCTACTAGCGGCCTAAATATATTTTCATTAGAATTATTATTTATATTTATTTTGTAAGTTATTTTATTATTTTACCATACTTTAATAAGGGGCCATATTAATAATATCTGAACGGAAAACGTTGCTTTATAAGTTATAATATTATATTAATGTTATATTAATAATATCTAAACACAACTTCAAAAAATATATATACTGAGAAAGATGATAAAAGTATAAAATTGTAAAAACTATAAATAATTGTAATTTGAGTTTAAAAGTTTATAATTTACACCTGATGACGGTTTGATAAACCGAAACATGTTGTGAATGTTCCGATGTAAATCGAATGCTCGATATGGAACATAAGATGATATTTTAATCATTTTAATTATCTTATCTTACTATTTTATTGTGATTTGACGGTAAACAAATATAATAATTATTTTATAAGTTTATTCCTGTTTTTAACTCACATATTATATTATGCCAGAAAATGGGAAGATAATAATGAATCGTGAATTTAAACAGGCTGTCATATTTGAATATACTATCGCGCCACCGACTTGACAGTCTGAGAAAAGGCACGAAAATTTGTACGTATAGTCTGTAATAAAATATGTTACGTTCCATATTTAAGCCCATAAAGTTAAATTTTGTATCACCCTGCGCTGCAGTTCAATGACACACTCAGATACAAAATTTCCTACACGTTATGAAACGATTTATTTCAGTATTTGTTAAGGGGGCAGTGTTACACCACAGACATGCCCAGCAAGAGTGTAAAAATGCATTACGCTTTGTAGCAGAATTTTCTTGTGTATTTTATGTTCTGTTTTGCAACAGAGTTAGCTCTGTTATGCGCTTGTTGCAACTACAAACATATTATTGACTGAGACATCGCAATTAGTAGAGACACAATGCAGTATTCTCCATTTTGTCACGTAATATAAGCTACATTTCTGAGGAAACACTTGAATGCAATTCAAATTCCTTAATAAGTTCTATGTGTTATGAGAAATTTATTAAGTTTTGATTTCCATGTAAAACAGAGTATATATAGGAAAGTTCTGTAGATTGTATTTTGTGTGGAGAGACTCCCTTAGCCCGCTCGTTATTGAGTTCCATTGAATTGTGTTAAGTTACTATTAAGATGGAACATGCGGACGAACCGACAAACATAACATCCATGTTATATGTTTACTTTATGTATCGATGTAAGTAAGGTATAAAATTAGCTGAAAATTAACGTCGCGTTGCGTAAACGTATTTCCCTCGTTATCATCTTTTGCCACACATCTGTCCATAGTGGCAGAAGATACCCTGTTCAGCAGCCCTGCATAATCGTCAATTGAGAAATGAATCTCTGTATACGGTTATCTGTTTACCCTTTAAAGCAAAGTGATAAGTATGAATATCTCTGTCTTCTGGGATTTTGAGCAGTGTAGACCGATAAATACTGACCGACGTTTCAGAGAAGCTCGCTGTCTCCGTCATCAGACTACACGGCGTAAGAGGACAATCGCCCTGATGATAGTGGCAGTAAGAACATCTCAAATGTCGTAAAATGTACATCAGACTACACGGCGCTATGACCCAGCAGACAGCCACCTTCATCCTCTCTGTCGTGAGAATTGCAAGTGCTGTGTTGTAACGACATTTCTGTGTCTCTTTCTTTTTTAGAAATTTTCGATTTACGACGGTTATGTAATGTCTTTAATGGATCGGTTTATAAATCTCAAGTCTGTATTTCGACATAGGGTCTATAGAACGTCGCACTTCAATTATTGAAACTGCTTTATATTAGGAAGTCCACGGGTTTGTTTCTAGGTACATAAGTCTTGTAACTGGAGTTCTTTGCTTTTTCTCAGTTCATGCAGGAGAGTTCTGGGATAGTAAGCCTACCTTTAAGTAGGTTACGATTTATTTCTTCTGAATGTCACTGAATTCATCATTCGGAATCATTATTCATTGCGTCCAGTACGTAAAACACAAAGAAGTGTAAATATTATATGGACGCAGAAATAATTTAACAAATAAAGAGCAGCATGGAGTGATGGGATAAAAAAGTAGCGCTGAACAAGATCTAACCGCAGTAACAACATTTTGTTATTTACTGTACACTTTAACGATGCATTTGAATTGAAAATACCGAACTGCTGAGCTGTTCACTCTTCTACTTCGCATTGGAGTTCCGGCACTAAGTTCGCGACCCAGATTCTGGCTGTGAAAAGGAAAAAACTATGAGCTTTCCGAATATTCTTTAGTCCCTCCATGCAAATGCCGGAATATTATCTTAAAACAGGTAGGGACAGCGCCCTTCACTCACAAATTATCTTACCATTTATCGATGACATAGGCAGTTAAGAAAGTTCATTTAACTAAATGAAGAATCGATTTTAAATACGTCTGCACACCAGTTGGAAAACACCCACTTACAGAAACGAAGGAATGTAGAGTGTTGTGTTCTTTCTTGTTCACTCTATTGTAACTCGCTCTTTTGTTCCTTAATACAGGAAGGAGAAAAGAGAAAATACTGTCTCTGTTTGAGATACACAGAGAATTTATTCTGTTTTATTTACGTCACAGAAGTTTTGTAGCTTTCCTTCACTGCATGTAGATGCTTGAAAAATAACCCAGTCTTCCACAACATCCAAGATACAGCCTATTCGGAGTGTATTTGAAATCCTGAAGCAATTGTTTCTTGGCTGAATGGCATTCCACGTAGAGCACGAGCTAAAAGAATTTCCTTTTCATCTCGGTAAGTTGGATGGTGTAGCGGAGCGCTCTATACTTGTATTATGGTAGTGCACGTTGAAGAAGTTCGTGGAGTAGAAACCATCTTGAGAAACTAATAGTCGTTCAGCTTGTCAAGAAATTCCCGCCTCCCACGGAACTCGAAGGTTTATTACAGCGTCTACAAGAACGCGCTACCGGTCCATATCCTGACCGAGGAGAATATTCTCCACGCTCCCCCAAACGTACTTTAAAAATATCCTTTCACCTACAATGCATCTTGCAAGTGGTCTCTTCACTTTCACATTTTCCGACCAAAATCTTGTCTGTATTTCCTCTCTCCCACGCGTGCTGCATGGTTTAGATCCCTGCCAAATTACTAACTATGCTGGCAATGGTTTTCATAGTTTTCCTTAGTCTCTCCTTGCTAGTACAAAGCAGTACACAGTCACTGTTTTCAGAATTCTGACTTTGTTCACCATTTATCGTCAATTCCTCTCTTGTTTTCAGGTAACTGGTTCTCATTATAAAGATTTGTTTTTTATGTTAGTGGTAGCTGTCGAAATTCAACATTATATTACCACTTCTATGAAAACTAAGGCCACCGTGAACGATAACAGAGTATGAAGATTTCCGTCTTCTGGGTTGTTGCGCTGTGTAGTCTGGTCGATGTTAACCGACGTTTCAGAGGTCATACTGCCTCCGTCATCTGAGTATGAAGATTTCTGTCTTCTGGGTTGTTGTGCTGTGTAGCCTGGTCGATGTTTACCAACGTTTGTGAGGCCATACTGCCTCCGTCATCAGGGCGATTCATCACCCTGATGACGGAGGCAGCATGACCTCTGAAACGTTGGTTAAAAACCTCAAATCTTACGGTTACAGAGTAGTCTGAACATATACTCTTTTTTTCACAGGTTGAACTGGTGGACATGCACTACGGCACAGAGGTTGATCCTACGTACGATCCTTCTCTGTTTGAAGATCACCTGCAGGAGATACGAGATTGCCATCGGGTATCGAGGGGATGCTTCTTCCTGGTGAGTTTGTTACTGTCAGTTGTAATGTGTGAAGAAACAGTACAAATCTTTTCCAAACAAGTTCGATTAAATTTAGAATATCTTATTCTCATTTATGTTCGCATTGTTGTCGCAGACCAGACACGCCAAAGACAGAAATTTTATGGAGTCGAGATAAAAATATTTCGAACAAAGTACTTTATGGGAAATAATGAGCTCATAGTACGCGCCACTAATGTCATCATTATGCCACCTGGCGACTATGCAGTTATTTGAGGGTGGAATTACAAGGAATAAGGAGTCACAGGGTGTAGTATTTAAGATGTTAACCATGGCATATAGTCCGTAATTAATTTCACGGATTTCTGCTCACATATTTCTTAGTTGCGAAATTCCAACCAAAGGACGTTTTAGGATCAATAATTTGCAGTTTTCAAGATACACACTATGGCGTAACATGTATGTAATATTTCATCGATTTGAATGCGGCTTTTCGATGGCTCCAAATTTCAAGCCGACGGACTCAGAATTTTGAAAGACTCAGATTTAATTTGTTTATTTAGGTCAGGTTGGGGGTCCTGACGCACTTTCGCTGTTGACCGTGTACATGAGCTGACAGACAAACGTTATTCCTTGCGTGCTTTCATTCCGTGTAGAGAATTCATTACGCGGTAATTGTCCTACCGATTGGTCTTTTTAGGTTTTTTTTAGTGATATTTGTTGTTTTCGATTGGGGTTTCTGTTCCTATATCAGCTATGTTTCCAATTAGTGAGAATATAATTGTAAGCTTGTCCTCATATTCACTTCTGTTTACTCTGTTTAATCAGTAGAATGGACAGCAGTGTTTCTTGTAACAAATTACATAATTTGTTTTATTATTTTGATAGTTTTTATTAAATCATGTATCTATGATTATAAATGTCAGTGGCGATCGCCCTGATGATAACGTCGGTAAACTTCCACCAGACCGCACGACGCAACAACCCAGAATACAGCCATCTTAAAAATTAAGATTCCCTTGATGAACATTTATCTACATTCCTAATACAACATTCCGTGGAAATCGTTGAGTAATTTGAGGTATGAAACATTTTTATGGACAAGATAACCCACATTGCGTTAATAGAATTTCTTCGTGTTCTACTGATCCGTGTAACGACGTCTACGGTCCTTCAGCAACATCTAACCCCACCGCATCATAGGTTTCAGTCGTAAAGGAAAAACGAAGGAGAGCAGAGGGACGAAGGGCGTGACCGTGGCTCTGAATATCATAACATTAAAGCTATACAACCACTACATGAACTCAGGAGATAAGACTTTAAGAAAGACGTTCTGCGCGTATCATGAAACGATAGACTTACATTGATCAATTTGAATTACTGGAGAATCCAGCTTTACTTTGAGGGATCTTTTCAGCTTTTAGAAAAACTCTTCCAGGGCGGGGTTGAAGGAAATTGTTTCGCTTTTGTACACAGTACTCTGATGACTGGGGCAATAAGTTACTCTGAAACGTCGGTCAATATCCACCAGATTACATGACACAATGTCCCAGAAAACAACCAACTTCAAACATGTCTTGTAAATTAAATATTTTCTTTCGTCGGTATGGTATTCTGCGTTTCTCCGTCTCTGGCGTGGTTAGCACAGTGAGGTAAAACGAGACTAAATAATACAAAACATGTCATGTTTTATCTTCTGGTAATTATGATACCTTTTTTTTTTTTGTTTATCAAGAATATATATCCATAAGATTGTGATAAATAAGCAGTTTCATTATTTTACTATAATTTAATCGGAAAAAATCCGTCTGAAAATCAGGATATTTTGCTAGTCGATATTATAAAAATGTATGTAAATTTTTTATTTATTTTATTTGTAGTGTTCTGTCTGACGACAGGTCCATATGAACAGGATGCTTCCATCCTTTTCTCGGACTGGGACCTGTTCATATACGTTCTTGGCAGATGATCCAGAAGTGGTTTGCCATTGCCTTCTTCTGTGTGTGAATGGAGTAATTGTTGGGATGCCACGGAGGAAAACTCCGTGTTGCCTAGACCACGGCCTTGCCCAACACAAGTTATAAATTTGAGCACCACCGGGAATTGAACCCGGGACCCCAGGCTTAAAGCTAGTGTTCTGACCGCTAGACCACCGTGTTTTATATGCATGGAATCGCGGAACATCACTTCTATTTAACTACATGAAACGGCATCTTTTGAGCAGTTACCCTAAGAGGAATGAAATAAATGGACATGTCCTAGAAACTTTTTCATTCATATAGATCTCTAGTATTGTTAGGACAGTGAAAATCTGGGAGGTTGCGATGAGCTGGGTGTGAATAGAGTTGGGAAGACAAGGATTTCATCAAGAATTGTTGTTGCAAAACATCTCGGAAAGCATTCACCAGGATATTCGAGAAGGAAATAAGGATACGATTAAGACTGGTCTTGCAGAGATAAACAAATTCAATTTCCGCGTAACTAATCGCATTATAGATATCGCACTGCAAGTATTCTGAACGTAATTCCCTTTTATTTCGTCAGATATTCACAGTATTGAAGACTGTTTCGAATGGGAGTTACAAGCCGTAATGAGATCTACTTTTATGGTCTGCCCAACAAGCATATTGTTACCACAGCCGTGCTAAGAATTTCCTACTGTATATTCAATGTAACTGATAAAATGAAGACGGAAGTAGAAGGAACTTCCAGTTTAATCGAAACGCGTTATTTTTAATTTCACCCAAGATTACATTTCCTCGCGTTTCTTGTTATCCCAAATCTGGCTCATCAGATCAGAAAGTTATGATGAACTACTTCTCTGATTATCTTACTTAAAAGAACATAATTCAGAGAGTTATGAAGTCCTGATCCCATCGGTCTGCTTTAAGACTCGTTCCCGCGTCCGGTCACAGACACGGCTCGTATCGATCAGACGGTAAATAAGCTAACAGCAGTAATCAGCCAGACACGGACTTCACCAGCATCCATGAGAGCAGAAAATAATTCTTGCGCTTTATTCATTGTAACCCAGTTTATTCTAATTAAGAATTAAACTATGACCATGTTTCATTTCAGCTCCAGAGTCCCTAATCCGGGAAATGAAATGCGTTTGACAGCAAACATGAAAAGCGCATTGGCTCTCACAGATCATTGTTGCATTGTATTCCCCTTCAGCTTCCTTTCTAGGCATTTCCACATCTAGAAGTTTCACGAATGTGCGTATTAGCTTCGCCGTCTTTGTCTGTCTGAATATAACTAGAAAACCAGTGAACAGATAACTTTTATTTTTGAATATTTTACTGTATTATATCGTAACATTCCCATTTCATTAAATACGTAATTGGAGTTCAATAATTAATAACCAGGTTACCTTGGTTACTTGAGAAATTTCTGTGTGGGGAATCCCCATTAATGGGAATCCTTACATATGATGATATCATGTAGCTATTCACGATAGTAATTAACTTCAGACGACTGTGACGTCACTGGCGTTGTTCACAAAGTTAATATTCTGGCGAACGTGCCAGAATTATTAAGCTGTGCTCGCATTTCCTGACTGATTCTAATCCCCCAGATATCATATTCTGAGCTATAACGCTGCAGGAGATATTTAACTGCACTGTTAAAAGATCCAAACCTCTTCGAAAGGATGTCTGGGTGGAAACAGTATCTCCTTGATATTTCACTTTTATTGTTGTGTTTTCCCTCGAGAGACTGGTGGGGGGCTTCGGTTAATTTGGTGATGAACCTTCGGGTTCCATAAGCCATCTAGTTAGTCAGTCAGTTATTCCTTCGAGGCTGTTGTTTTTCTACCTGTGCAGAGAAACTTCACGCATTTCTACGCGTGTTTTGCAGAAAACTCGGTTGCAGCATTTCTTCTGTGTACTCTGCCTAAGAAATCAGATGTTTTGTAACATATGTCTGGTTTCTGCTTCACTTCGTTCTTCTATGTTTTTTGGCCTCCTTGATTTTTACTTCTTGTTATATTTGTTCCGTTTTATATTCGTCTGTTTTCTAATTTTAATCTTGTTGCCGTTTCTCATCTTTTTAACTACTTTACACTTACTATGGCTTCAATTTAGTAATTTCGTTACCTATTACATCCATATCTTGCCTGTTGTTTTGTATGGGTGCGAAACATGGTCTCTCACTCAGAGGGAGGAACACAGATTACAGGTGTTTGAGAATCGGGTGTTGAGGAGGATATTTGGGCCTAAGAGAGAAGACAATGGGGCGTGGATAAAACTGCATAATGACGAGCTTAAAAATCTGTAATTCTCCCCCAGTATTGTCAGGGTGATTAAGTCGAGAAGATTGAGATGGGCCGGGCATGTAGCGCGCATGGATGGGATAAGAGGTGTGCACCGGGTACTGGTTGGGAAACCTGAAGGGAAGAGACCGCTGGGGAGACCTAGACGTAGATGGGAGGATAATGTCAGGCGGGATCTGTCAGAGATAGGAGTTGAAGGAAACTAGATTTTGTTGGCCCAGGACAGGGTGCGGTGGAGGGCTTTGGTTAATTCGGTGATGAACCTTCGGGTTCGGTAAGTCAGCTAGTTAGTTAGTTAGTTAGTTAGTTAGTTATTACATCCATTCTTCTGATGTTATTTCCGATTTTGGCACCACTTTTGTTTTACCATTCCACTATTTATTGTCAGTTGTGTTTCTGCTCTGCTTGGTATCACGACTCCACTCGGTAACTCATGTTTCCAGTTAACGTCGTATCCTTAACGCAAGCCAACTGTGTGTCGGTAAATTGTAGTTTATGATTTATTTTGACCCGTGTTTTTACCTTACTTTTTTCTCTGATTTCAAATTAGTTTTAAAGCAAAGTGTATGCCGTTATATTCAAAAGACGCTGGAAATGACGTAAGAAATACAGAACGATCTTTTATCCTTCAAAGTAAGTTAGTAATTAGTTAAACAAGTGTTACTGTGCCAACCTTTACTCGTTTTATTTTAGTGACTCCAAATTACTCCAGCACACTGGCGCCTTTGATTGTGTGTTTTTATAAAGT